CTGAGAATATCAGTTTAATAATGTATAGAAATCAAGCTCAACCTAGATGTTTTAGGAGAAACTTAGGCATGTAACAACAAAAATACATGATGCTCCACACTTCATTTGTTTCCTCTGTAGATCTATTCAGCATTGCTGTGCTGCAATACTGCTGTGGTGCAATATCACTAAATGCCAGCTCAGCCATAGGTGATGGCAAACCCACAGAGATGTCATGTGCTGTGCAGCTGCCACGAGCTTTGCTCATATCCTTCCCAGATTGACCACCCTCTCTCCACATCTCCTGCACATGTTTAATGCAGCTTTTCTATAATTCATAGAACCAGAGAATCATGGAATTTTAGGGGTTGTAATGGAGCTTAGAGATGATCCAGCTCCAACCCCTGCCCTGGGCAGGGACACCTCCCAGCAGAGCAGGTTGCTCAAGGCTCATCCAACCTGGCTGTGAACACTGCCAGGGTTGGGGCAGCCACAGCCTCCCTGGGCAACCTGGGACAGGGTCTCACCACCAGAACAGGGAAAACTTCTGCCTAACATCTAACCTCAATTTCCCTCCTTCAATCTGTGCCCATTGCCCCTTGTGCTGTCCCTGCAGTTTCTGATAAATTTCCCATTAAGCCAATAGTTCTCTAGCACAGGTGATGGGTCTGTCCCATGCATTGATATTTTTTATACTCATCTGGTTTTATGACAGAAGTTGCTGTTGCAAGGACATTGGCCATGGGACAGCTATTATGCAAATTCATAGCAAGACGAGGATGAGAAGGCCAAGCCTTGGCATGGGAATAGCAATCAGCTGCCTAGTGTAGCAGGTGGTCAAATGACCATCAGACTCTAGAGATGCCCAAACTGGCTGTGAATTCAATGGATGTTGGTGTATGGAATTTTAGAGGATGGAAGGGAACATTGCCAAGACTAGCTGTTGCCATCTTCACCTCTTCCTTCTGCTGGAAGCAGAAGGAGCATTGAGCTGCTTTACTTTTAATGTTCTCACCAAGCTTCCCCTCCTTCTCCTTTCTGCCTTCTTGTGACAGGAGTGGCCTTACCTGAGTCCCACCCTGGTCTGAACTGTGATAATACTTTCTCCCAGGAATTTGGCTAAGAGTTACTGTGACTGGTGAACATTTCATTAATTCCAGCAACATTTTGTATGTACCTGAAGACAAGTGTTTACCTGTAAAGTTTACTTTCAGGAGATAATCTTTGTAGAGCTTTCTGCCATCCAGGTGCTTCATGGCATCACAGAGTTTGGTGGTGTTTGGACAGAGAGTCCTCTGCATTTTGTGCAAGGCATGGGCCATTGCATACACAGCATTGACAACGAACATGATCTTGGATTCCTGCTCGTAGTTGGAACTGTTGATGGTGAAGTGCTTTTCACAAGCCTTTTTATGTGGCTTTCTGTTCTGCAGATTGCACTGGAACTTTTGCTCCCAGAAGTCCTTGAACCAGGGGTTGCGCCTGTTGTTGTAAGGGCTGAGGCTCTGGAAGTACTTGTCAAACTCTTTCACTGGATGGGACGCAAGCTCCAAGGTGATGGCCCCAGAAGCTACGTGCTCGTTGCCCTTGACGATGCTCTCCTGCGCTCCCCAGCCGTCGCTGGCGATCCAGGTGAAGGACACGTTGAAGCGGTTGGCGGCCGCGATCAGCTCCCGCGAGTCGTCGCCGCGCATGAAGAGCACCACCACCCTCGCGTTGGGTTTCTGGAGCAGCTCTCTGATCACCCCATCGTACGACTTCCTGATGTTGGACCTGCCCACCTTCTCGGAGGTGGCGATGCAGATGTTGCGCAGACGAGCTTCCTGCTCAAAGGCCTCGATCCCTGTCTCCCCGTAGTCTCCTTCGGAGGCAACGGTTGACACGTAAGTCCAGTTGAAGTAGCGTAAGATTTCAGCCATGGCTTTGGCCTGGTAGAAGTCTGGAGGCACCGTCCGCGCGAAATAGTCGTAGCGGGACTTGTCGCTCAGCTTGGCACTGGTGGAGGCATAGCTTATCTGGGGGATCTGGAAGAGTCTCAGCAGATTTGCCACCTAGAGAGGAAGGGGAACACAGGTTTTTAAAGAGTGGAATTTAGAAAACTGAAGAATCGAGGGAAAGGAATTAACAGAGGTGTTTGGCCAATGTTCTCAGCACAGGGTGTGACTGTCAGGGATGTCTGTGCAGGGCAGGGGTTGGACTGGATGATCCTGAAGGGTCTCTTCCAGCTCTGATTGTTCTGTGATTCTGTGAAATGGTCACAGGTGAATGCTGAGCTCCCCAGGGAACACACCATGCCCTGTCCATCCCAGCAAGCACTGCCTCTGGTGTTTCCTGGCAGTAAATGACTGTGCAACCCACAAACACATTATCATAGAATTATAGAGTGATAGAATCATAGAATTTTAGGGGTTGGAATAGACTTTAGAGGTCATCCAGTCCCAAACCCTGCCCTGGGCAGGATGCTCCAGTGCTCTGAGCAGCTCTGTGGCCTCCTCTGCACTTGCTCCAACAGTTCCATGTCCTTCTCAGGCTGAGGCCCCAGAGCTGTGTGCAGGATTCCAGGTGGGTCTCACAGAGCAGAGCAAAGGGGGAGACTCATGTCTTTACAACAAACCACTGAAAGTGATTTATTTCATTTTAAACCAGAATTAAACCTTTTCTACCCTGCCTAGAAGGAACATCCTGACAGGAAGCTCTGCCCAATGCTCTGTGGTTTTGTCAGTGGGTACAGGCATGTGGCTGGGAAGTGCTGGGGCTCAGTAAGTTACTGTCCCTCAAACAGCAGTTGATGTGTCCTTAACCTCCCTGCTAGATGGTTACATTCATTAAAGTGCCTTACACTGGCAATTGTGGATTTAATTTCCACCGTGGGGATGGAAATGAACGGATTAAAACAACAGGATGGGCAGAGATGCTTGTTTTGTCATCAAGTTACAACGGATGCTTCGAGCACTGTTAAGCCCCTGTGGCTTTGTAACTTTGATTACATGTCCACATATCCACATGGTTTGTTCACATGTCCTCTCTCACCAGGAGAACTCTGCTTTGGTAATAAGAATGTCCTCTGCATAGCTCTTCTGGAACATAACTTGCAGAACATTTGGGCTGGAATTGCTATTCTTGTCTCCGTTTATTCTAGCAGGAATCATTTTATTTGAGCTAAACCATTATAAGGAGATACACACACATCATTCTGCATTTTCCCCTCAAACTGGCTAAAGAGGAACATTTTCTAGCTCAAGCAATGCTGTTCAGTGTGTAGCCTTCAGCTTACAGAAGGATGCTCCTAACAGACGCAGCAGCTGCTTTATTGCTTGTTTGTTCTTTAGTTTGTTGGGTTTGTGTTGTTTTTTCCTTTTAGTCTAAAGCAGCAAAAGGAACCATGTGCAGGGAATCAGAACTGCACTCCCAGTGTGCATGGGGACCCCCCAGCCTTGGAGGTCAATGTATCTCCAGGGTCCCTGCAAACTGCCTGTTTCTCATTCCTGTGCTATGGGGAGAAGAAAGGTTTTGGGTGGCAATGCTGTTTGCTGCAATGCTCTTCACTGCTAAGCTGTCCAGAGGGGAGGATTTGCACAGGCTAAAGGTTTTAAAATATAGAATCATCAGGGGTGGAGGAGAACTCTAAGGTCATCCAGTCCAGCCATGAACCTGTCACTGCTGGAACCCCCAAACCCTAACCCAGATCCTCCAGTGCCACATCAGACACCTCTGAAACACCTCCAGGGATGGTGACTGCACCACCTCCCTGGGCAATATCCCAGTGCTGAACACCACAACAGGGAAAACATTTCTCCTCACACCCAATCTGACTCTGCCCTGGCTCAGCTCAAGGCCATTCCCTCTCTCCTCTCCCTCAGCCCTGGCAGGACACACATCCCACACCTCTCTCCAGCCCTGGCAGGAGTTGCAGAGAGCCAGGAGGTCACCCCTGAGCCTCTTCTCCAGGCTGAGCAACCCAACTCCCTCAGCCCTTGCCCATGTGCTCTGCCCTTTGCTGCCCTTGTTGCCCTGTAGACAGGTGAGGTTTGGTCTCTTCTCTCAGGTAACAAGTGATAGAACAAAAGGAAAGAGCCTCACATTGTGCCAGGAGAGGTTTAGATTGCACATTAAGAACAACTAAATCACTGAAAAGGTGATTGGAACCTTAATGATTCTATAATTCTATGATTCTATGGCAATGCTCTTTCTTTCTCACCTGTTATTTCAGGGGTTAACTACCCAAACCTGTAAAATCACACAATTTCCCCTTGGCAAAAGGAGAAAAAAACCCTACTAAAATCCCAAACCCAAATGACTCTGCAAAGGAATCAGTTACTGTGGGATTTTCAAAGAAGCCAGAGGGAGGTACAACAATCCTTTGAAATCTCTAGGAAAGAAGTGCCCAGTGCTCTTTGGACACTTTGAACATCTCAACCTAGTGCAGGTTCAGCTTCTGAATGTGGAGTGGAAACAAAGAGAGGAGCAAACAGGCTGAGATGCAGCAGAGAGGAAGAACAGAGATAAAAGAGGGAGAGTTTAAAGGTGACACATGGAAGTTGGTGAGTGTATGTGCAGCTGACATGCCAGTGGTGGGTGTTCTCACAGAACAGACCTTTGAATTAGGACCTGGTGCAGTTTTACAAGCACAAAATCACCTGAGGGTGTAGTTGCACAGCTGAATGCAAAGCCCCTCCATAAATACCTCAAGTCTCTTTCCTTTTGCCCTATCTTTGTTACCTGAGAGAAGAGACCAAACCTCACATGTCTACACCCTCCTAGCAGGTAATTGTAGAGTGATGAAGTGTTCCAAGTGGGAAAGGATGTAACTATAAGTGGCCAAAAAGAAGAACTACCTAGGGACATTTGGACAAATGCTGCATGTGGCTGTGGTCCCTGGTGAGTCCCTGCAGCCTCCTGCATGTTTCTCCTTCCCATATCCCTGTTGGGTCCATGCACAGTGTGACAGAGCCCCATAGGTTATGTTTGGGTTTTGGGTTTTTTTTTCCCATGTAGTTCTAAGGATTTTGTACTATTGTAGTGGTTATGGAAGTCACAAGCTGCTGTTGAGATTCTGGTTGAAAGATGGTTTATCCTTGGAGGAAGGAAATGGAGGTGATTAGCTCTCAGGCTCCATGAGCCCTTGGCAGATGTTTGTGGGTAAGGAGAAATGACAGCCAGGAAATACTGCCAGTAAATCTGAATTTCATGCCAGATGGTCACTCACTTAGGAGTGGCCTTAGCTTTTGTGATAGCAGTAATGCACTGTTAAACCTTCTCCAGTGCTTTTGTTGCAGTTTACTGGAGACACAGGAAGGGGTTGAAGGCAGTTGGACATTGTTTTCTGTTCTGCCATTTTTTCTGGATGAAGCTCTAACTTGGGACTAATTTTCATTACCATGATCTGGAGGTTTTGTGGTTTGGTGGCATAAAACCCCCTTCACATCCACATGAATATAGTGAATCTGGAAATTCAAAGCCCAAGGAATGTCTTGTTCTGAGAGTTGACTGCAGGGAATGGACCCCAATCTTCATTTTCAGAAGATGAATCCAATTCTCAAGAGCAGAGAGGAACATAATCCAGCACTTGAATTGTTGTATTCCTGCTTGCACACACATATTTCTGGCAGAGCTGGCCTAAGTGTTTTAAACCTGACATTGGGGTTGGCCATTCAGGTCCTCTACAAATGAACAATCCTTTCTCCTTATCCTTTCTAAAATGCCACTGAATATCTCCAAGGAAAATATGTTTGTCATTTCTCTTGTAAACTAGGAAAGAGAATGGCTCAAAAGGAAAGACATGAACCTAAAGGAAAGTCCTCCAGATTTTGAAGGATTCATCTCCTGATCCTAGATTCAGCTCAGGTCAGAGCTTTTCCATTGACTGAGGATCCTGGCTTGAGTTTTGAGGGATCAAATACTGTGCAGATTGGGCTCACTGCTAATCTAAGCACAACATCTGAAAACTAATTATCCAGATCATCATTAACGATAATGGCCTAGTCTGACCAGAAAATAATTAAGCATTCTGCATTCTCTTGTTGTTTTTAGGATCTGCAAAAAGTGCCTATCACACATACCGACTCAGTGGGGAAGGTGTTCATTGCTGATTTACCAGCAAATCCCTTTTTTCCTTGGTGGAAGGATAATGAAAAAAGAAGAATCCTGACAGCAGGAGCATCATGAAGTGATTTGGCATACAGCTGTCCAGACAGAGAGCAGGAGAGGGAGAGTGCAAGGAGGGGAAGAAAATGTATTGAAATATAAAGACAAATTCACAGGAGGGAAAAAAACCCTAGGAATAATTTTTGTTTGAAGAACTCAGCATGTTTTATTTTAAGGCTAAGAAACTGCACCGTGGACTTTGTAATGTTTACAGCTCTCAGCAAAAGAGAAATGCTTGACAAGGCTACATCTGGAAGCATCCAGCACCCTGAGAGCTGTTTGGCAAGGCAGGGAATAGGAACCTCAGCCCTGCACACATGCCCGAGGAAGTATTTTGGCTTTCAGCAGTGGTGCAATTCCAGTTGTCACTGGAGCTGCTCTGTGCAGGTGACTGGCTCTGAAATTGGGGAGTCTCTTCTGGTGTGGCACCAGAGTGCCTGGATTTAGTGCTTCGAAAAAACTTCTCCTAACATCTAATCTGAATCTCCTCTGGCTCAGCTTATGACCATTTCTTCTAGTCCTCTTACAGTTTAGAGTTGCTAAAGTGACACAAAATGCAAAGTTCAAAATAAATACCAAGACTTTTGGAAACTTCAGGTGTCCTCAGGACACACCATAACTAGAGGAAGTGAGGAGCTGCCAGAGGTCTAATGTAGAGCAAGTGCTTTAATGAGTGAATGAAATCAATATACGTTAGATTTTGGGAAGAAGTTTTCCCTGTTCTGGTGGTGAGACCCTGTCCCAGGGTGCCCAGGGAGGCTGTGGCTGCCCCAACCCTGGCAGTGTTCACAGCCAGGTTGGATGAGCCTTGAGCAACCTGCTCTGGTGGGAGGTGTCCCTGCCCAGGGCAGGGCTTGGGGCTGGGTGAGCTCTAAATTCCATTCCACCCCCTAAAACTCTGTGATAATATATATTCAGTAAAGATCATATGCTGGTTTGACCCTTAGGGTAAAGTGATCAAGCTGAGACTCTCTTCATGGACAAACTTCCCTAAGCAGTGGTTCTCTCACTGGAAGTGCAGATGACCAACTCTCACCTGATGTGGCTCCTGTGACTTACCTGTATGGAGACACTGCTATAGGAGCCACCTATGACTCCTGCAATGAGTAAGGGCAAGTTCTCTTGAATGGCATAGGAGCCATCAGGGCACATGTACTCTGTTTCATCCACTTTAGTCAAAGATGCCCTGACGAATTCCAGAGACTGTTCTAAGGCATATGTATCCCTGGAACACGTGTCCAAGATGTGAACTCCAAGTTTAATTCCTGGCAGCAAATAGTTGTCGTTGTTGATCTCATCAATAGCAAACAACATTGCCTCCAAGCGCTGGATGCCTCTGTCTTCATTGATCCTCCCACATTCTTCTATCCCAGTGCCTTTTTCCTTGATTGGGAATAAGCCACCTAAGACCAGGTCTCCTTCTATCTTAATTTCCTTCCTTACAAAGCTGTGGTCACTTAGGGAAAGGAAAACTCCTTTGGAAAACAAAGCTAGAGCAAGGACTTGGAGTCTGGTGAACATCTTCATCGGTTCTGGTTTAGCAGCTCTGAGAAACATTGGTGTGAGCAACAGTGCTCTTCAGTCCTTCTGATCCATTGCCAAACATGAAGTGCTGTCCCACAAGCCAACAAGTCTTTCCTCTGGACCTCTAAAGAAGAGATGGAAGGAATTAGAAAAGGCAAAAGGAGACATGAAGATGTGAGATGCCTTAACCACAAACCCATCCCACCCTGAGGCAAAAAAAAAAGACTCTCTTGCAAGCAAATGAAGGTAAATACATAAATAAATCAGAGAGACATGAAAGAAAAAAAGAGACATGACAAGGAGGAGTCTTGTGTTTGATGCTTGCTCAGGGCATGAAAATGCTCATGGCTGGACTTGCTCTCTTTAATGCTTAACCACACTTCAGTGCTCAGATCAAAGGGAGAACACAGCAGTGATGTCTGTTCTTAGGGTGTGATTTTTACTCTCACTAAGGTCAGGACAGTTCTCCACTGACCTTAAAAGGAGAAAAATCAAGGCTTAGTGTGAAAAATCACATCATAAATGTGTTGTAAATAAATACACATACACAAAGTCTGTTGGTGCAACATAGATGTGTGTCTTGGCCATGGACTCCTTGTCAGTGTCTCTTACAGTATGTGCTGACCTCCCAGTCCTGGGATAAATCCTGTGGTAAGAGTTAAACAGATCACTTTCAGGATTTCTTTCTGTACTTACCTTTTGTCCATTCAGAAACAAGGGATATGTCAATGGAAAACAAACTTCCTCATCCCTCAGTGATCTCTAAGCAAGTTATTCTGCTGGTCACCTGTGGTTTGTTAAGCAGGTCCAGAAAATACCTTTTCTGGCAATGTTAAGGGAAGTAACAGAACCATAGAATCACAGAACCATCAGGGCTGGAGGAAACCTCTAAGATCACTAGGTCCAACCATGAACCTGTCACTGCTGGAACCCCCAAACCCTAACCCAGATCCTCCAGTGCCACATCAGACACCTCTGAAACACCTCCAGGGATGGTGACTGCACCACCTCCCTGGGCAATATAATATCCCAGAACACCACAACAGGGAAAACAAGCTCTCCCTTCAGAAATCATTATCAGACAAAAATGTGGCATTTGCCACATAAATGGCTGTGTGGTTAATATTTCAGCTGAGTTAACTTGCCTTGTTTCTATCACTAATCCACTGTTTGGATAAAAACAGGATTTGGGATTTTTTCTAAATGCAATATCCACCTTATTTACTTCTGTGTCTTCTGTTGCCACTGAATCTCAGCTCTCCCTTCAGAAATCATTATCAGACAAAAATGTGGCATTTGCCACATAAATGGCTGTGTGGTTAATATTTCAGCTGAGTTAACTTGCCTTGTTTCTATCACTAATCCACTGTTTGGATAAAAACAGGATTTGGGATTTTTTCTAAATGCAATATCCACCTTATTTACTTCTGTGTCTTCTGTTGCCACTGAATCTCAGCAAATATTCCTAATTTATCATTATAACACTGGCAAAATATTTGTTTTGCCTGTTTTACACTTGGGGGAAAAATGACATAGAAATAAGATTATCAGAGGATTCTAAATTCAGCTTTGACTTGCTCAGCACTCACAATCACTCTCAGACTTTGGAAAGGTCTCTTTTTCCCTTTAGGGACTGAAGAATGTGCTCTCAACTGTGCCCTGATCCCCCTGGTTCCCCCTGAACCACGGACTGAAAAACTTCCTGAACAATCTGCTGTCTCTTCCAAGCCTTTTCCTGAATGGTTTACCTAAGGTCATCAGCACAGCCAAGAATCAAACTCTGATCTTTTCCAGTGCTCCTCTGATACCTGAACAAGAAACCTTGTTTCCCATTGCTCCTTCTGGCTTTTATGTGAGCCTTTTATAAGGTCATATCAAACCAATCTGCTTTCAACAGCCCTTCAACACCACCAGGAACGACTGAGTTTCCCAAAGAAGAGGTTTGTTAGGGGAGTTCTCTGCAAGGTTTTCCAAAACTGACTCAGGACATACCTGGAGCTGCAGTGAATTTGCCCTGAACAGCAGAGAGGATGTTCTCATGCTCCTGACTCCCTCATAGGTGTTGGTTTCTGCAAATGGCATCACCCTTCACCTTGTGTCTCCTCTGGGTCTCAGGGATCTGTGTGTCTCTGATACAGCAGCAAGAAAGGTTAGAAAGTCACCAAAAACTATTTCAATGCTGCCCATAAAAACCATCTCTGTAAAATGAATGATGCTGTAGAGAGAGATCTGGTTTCCCCTGCAAAGAATGCAAAAGCTTTCTATGTTCTGCTTCACCTAAGCTTCTTACAGTGGTACTGCTGAGGGAAAGTGGAATCACTCATGGCACAGCAGAGGATCAGTCCCTGCAGAAGTCAAGGGGTGATTGGAGAAGGTGAGGATTGATTAGGGGTGCCCATGGGTACCTACACCAGTCACTCTCCCTACAGGGCAATGCCTGTAGAGCTCTGAGCTTTTCATAGGGGCTTTGAGACTGTTGGGAGACACCAGAGATGCAGAGTCCTCCTTCCCAGGGAAACAGGTTCATCCTAGTTCATGTGTTCAAATCCTTAGCTCATAAATCACAGAATGCTCACAGCTAGAAGGCACCTTGTGGATCATCACTTGAACTCCTGCCCTGCACAGACATCCCTGACAGTCACACCCTGTGCTGAGAGCATTGGCCAAACACCTCTGGAGCTCTGTCAGCCTTGGGGCTGTGACACTGCCCTGGGAGCTGTTCAGTGCCCAAACACCTCTGGGGAAAGAAGAACCAGTTGCTAATCTCCAGCCTAACCCTCCCTGACACAATTCCAGCCCATTCCCTGGGTCCTGAGAGACAGTTACCAAAACCACAGCTTAAGGTACCAAATGTGCTGCTCTCCTCCTTCAGCCCTGGTATCCTGTGCACTGCTGCCTGTGTAGAGGCATCACAGTGTCCTGCCAAGGATGCTGAGCAGAGCTTGGGGAGTGAAGGTGATGACATGAAGGTTGATTTGTCAGGGGAGGTTTCCTCTTTGGGCTGTGAGAGAGAGATGCTCCCAGGGTTTCTCAGTGCTGGGACTCCTGAAGGAAGGAAGCTGTGAGGTGAATTTGGGTGGCCAGTGAGCAGCATCACTCTGGTGACACTGAAAAGGCCACTTGATGTGAAGAAGGGAGGCTATTTTAAAGCAGATCACAAAGATGTGCTAGCAGCTCAGCTCCTCTCCCATTTGTCTCTGTTGTGCACCTCCCACATGCTTTCTCTGCAGCTTGTGTAACTTAGAACTATACATACAAATATTTTGTACCTATTCTAGGCTGACACAGTCCATATTCTTTCCCTTAAACGTGGTGAAGGCACCACTTGTCATTTCCTACCAGGAGTGAACACCCCAATTTGGCTCTGCAGTCCTCTCTTCTACTAAAGCATGTTTCTGGGACATCTCAAAAAGAAGTACTTGCTGATAAAGCTGCAATTCTTCCATTTTTCCTTTCTATTTAAAGTTCTGACTTCAGCTCCAGGCAGGGTTGTATTGTTCTAGGTGCTCTGTGTACATTTCAGCCCTATAGACTTTGGATCTCTGGTGGAAATAGAAGTCAGAGTGTAGAAGTGATCCAAATGGAAAATAAGCAGAAAGAGGCTTAAGGAGAAAGGTTTCCATGTCTCTATCAAAGAGTTTCTGCCAGCACTGCCCTGTGGGAACTTTAGCCAGCAGCACTCAGCTGGAACACCTTGAGCCCCTTCCCTTCCCACCACCAAAGGTCCAGAGCAGAGAGCCAGATCTGCCCTTGGGGGACACTGTCAGCACTTCCCTCAGGGAAAGCAACTCCCTCCCTTGGTACCACAGCAGCTGTGCTGCTCTCAGTGAAAATCCCCTTGCCTCTGGGTCTGAATCGTCACTTTTGGAGGACTATTTCTGTGCCTGTGAAAAGCTGATTGCACAAATTTACTATTTCTTGGTGCAAGTTTGCTTGTTTACTAAGGATAAGCACGTTCCTGTTTCTGTGAAAGCAGCTAGAATAAGGAGGAGGATTTCTGGGGTTTCTACATTCAGTATCTCACTGATATCACAGAACCATCAGGGCTGAAGGAGACCTCAAGATCATCGAGTCCAACCCTTTAGCTGTCACTGCTGGAACCCCCAAACCCTAACCCAGATCCTCCAGTGCCACATCAGACACCTCTGAAACACCTCCAGGGATGGTGACTGCACCACCTCCCTGGGCAATATCCCAGGGCCTGACCAAAACTAATTCATCTCCAAAACTAAATTCTGCCTTCCAGGACTGTGTTCCATGACAGCTCTGGTGCTCTGCAGGTTTTCTGTCTGCAGCTCATGGAGTAGGTCCACCTGTGCTGTTGGATCAGAGGTGGATTCTTACCAAGCTAAGAGTTTTCACTCTATTTTTCTAGTAGCTGTCCAGAAAGAATTGCAGTTAAAACATTCATTTAGCCAGTTGACTTAGAAGCCAAACATCATTGTTCATACATCAGTGACAAGGTTGTTGATCCCTTCCACCACATCAGCACCAATGCTTGGCACTGCTTGTCCAATATCCATCAGCCACAGACTTACCAATTTACCACTTAGAAATGCTTCCCATTCCACCCTTATGAGAGCTGAGGCACCTCAAATCTCCTTGACAATTTTCAACACCACTGACTAACGAACGGGACAATCTACACGACTGGGATGAAACTCTGGAGAGTTTTCCTCTCTTCCCTACCATATGCTGTATCCTAAATCCCCCCACACTCCTTCCCCTTCACAGGATTTTGTGGGCCTCAGCTGTTTGTGCAGTTTCCTGACAAAGGATGCAACAAGAGCTGGCGTGGGTGCTGGAGAAGATTATGTTTAGCTTTATTGTGGGTGGCTCCCTCTTGGCAGTCATGGATTTCTACAGCATTATTCAGGGCTGCAATGTGATATTGTGGTGTCTGGAGCCAAATGTCAACACGGTATCACCTGCCACCCCTAGGAAACTTTCTCTGCAGGAGAACCATGCTCAGTGGAAGGTCACACAGGAGGTTCCCACACCTGTGCTCCTGTGGCATTTGACAACCTTGAGTCTAATAGTTTTATCAATAGCTCTTCCTCCAAGGTCATCCCACCAGAGAAACAGCTTTCCCCAAGCCCTTGTTGTGCCCTACAAATTC